GGGGGGGGGGGGGGGCAGGAATCCTACAGGCTATGTAAATTTACAGACCCCACATGGCTCTGGGAGACAGGTTTAGAGGTTATGAGGCACAAGTCGTCTTATCATTGGTTCTCCCGGTCAGCGGTCGCAGCCAGCACCACAGCAACTTCATCGGGGAGGTCAACTCATGGCTTCAGAATTGGTGCCACCATGCGGGGTTCGGCTTTCTAAATGATGATCCGTACTTCCAGGATAGGACACTGCCAGGACGTGACAGTCTAGATCTCTCTCCAAAAGATAAGAGTCTGTTATCTTACAGGTTGGCAGACCTCCTATGTACAGTGTTAAACTAGCTTCATTGGAGGATGGGGTTATTGAAGCCAGGACAAGATCAAGGAAGACAAGCTACGAATGACCCGCACACTTGAATTGACCCGGTAAGTACTAAGGGGCCCACTAAGAAATGGGATAGGGGAGTACTAAGGGCACCTACTGGGGGGCTTAGGTGTCTCTATGCTAATACTAGAAGCATGGGTAACAAGCAGGAGAAACTTGCACTCCTGCTTGCAGACAAAGATTTCAACCTGGTTGGACTAAAAGAAACCTGATGGGACCCTACTGGGCAGTGGGCATTAAGGGCTACAGGCTATACAGGAAAGACAGATTGAGGGGAAAAAAGTGGGGGATGTTGCTCTATACGTTAGGGAACATTATACACCTTCTGTAATAAAGATAGGGACAGAAGGACAGATCGAAGTCCTATGGGTCAGATTACAAGGGGGTAGGGGTGAAAGGGACTTTGTAGTGGGGGTCTACTACAGACCCCCACACCAAGAGGAGGAGTTAGACCTAGAATTCTCAAAACAGTTCTCAAAAGCAGTACGCTTAAAGGACCTAGAGGTCATGGGTGACCTAAATTACCCCAACATCTGCTGGGAGGAGCAGTCAGCCAGGTTTGCCCATTCACGTAGGTTCCTAACCTGCATATAGGACCTGCACGTAACACAGGAGGTATGCAGTCCCACTAGGGGAAATGCCATACTTGACTTGCTGCTGGCCACAGAGGGGATCTACAGAGGGGATCTACAGGTACAAGGTCACCTAGGGCATAGTAACTGTGGCAGGGCACTGTTGGTGCCTGCCACTTTAAGGGCTGAGCCAAACAGCCAGCAGGTACTTGATTATGGCTGCCATTTTAGAACTCTGGTCACCTACATAAAGAGAGCAGTTCGCTGCTGGCAGGCCAGCTAGAAGCATTGCCTGGCTGAAAGCTGTACGAAACATCTTGGAAGTAAGGTCAGGAGCTAAAGGGGATGGTTTGGAGGCTCCTGGTCCTGGGCATGACCTAAAACTGCACTCTGCCGAGAGTGGGTGACCTGGTGGGGCTCCCAGTGGTATTGGAGCCCCCAGGAAATACCAACCCAGTTACCACCCCAATGAAAGGTAGGTCAGGGCACCTTAACCCCTAGCCCCCACAACACTGTGGATACAAGGGTGTCAGGCACGGCTACAGCCACCTGAGCCCAAAGAGGGTGTAAGACCCAGATGGGGCCAGACACGGCTATGGCCACCTGAGCCCTTACTGGGGAGGGAAGCCCTGTGGCCCCAGTGACGGGGACAGAGATGAGGAGCCCCAGTGAGGGGGCAGGTGTGGAGCCCCAGTGACGGGGAAACCAGTGGGCTGGGAGCCCAGTATGTATATGTGAGTGTGTACAGAGTTTCCCTGGGAGGGGCCAGGGCAAGCTTGGACCCAGTCAGGTAACTGGCTGGCCACTACCCCAGTGAGGGTCGTGGGAGAGGCCCAAAAGATGGTACATCTGCCACCCAAGGTGTGCGCTAGGTAAAGCCTACGGCCGAAGGGGCCCACTCCAAGAGGGAGCAAGGCAGTATAAGTTGTAAATGCATGAAAGAGACCCTGTGAGAGGGGGTGGAGTGTGAGAGGCCTTAGTGAGAGGAGAGCGGTATGAATGTGAGTATCTGAAGCCTGACGAGGGCTAAGCTTGGTCTGGCGGTAGGCTGGGAGCATTGTGTCATGTGGATGCCATCTGCGAGGCTTGGGCTACAGTGTAGGGGACGAACAGTGCCACAGATAGCACCCCCTGGCATCGACTGTAACAGGCAGCTCTCGGGGCTGGTCTGCCATTGGCCTGCCCACCTGTTTCTGGGCCAGCTGCCTGCCTCCTTGCCTGCCATGCCTTGTTGTCGCTCAATTGGCTCTTAATAAGATGGGAGGCTGCCCATGCTTGCCGTGATGCCAGGGGGCACTATCTGAGGCTCCGTTCCTCCCCTACACTGCAGCCCAAGCTTCACAGATGGCATCCAGGTGACACAATGCTCCCAGCCTACTGCCGGACCAAGCTTAGCCCTCGTTGTCAGGCCTCAGACACATGCACGTCAGGGTTACTAGAAATAACGGCCACAAACTAAAGGAGACTAGATTTAGCTTGGCTATCAGGAAGAAATTCTTTACAGTGCGGGTTACCAAAATATGGAATGGGTTTCCAAGGGAGGTGGTGCTTTCCCCTAGAATCAAGAAAAGATTAGACAGGCATCTAGCTGGGGTTATTTAAACCCAGCGCTCTTTCCTGCCTAGAGTAGGGGGTTGGACTTGATGATCTACAAGGTCCCTTCCGACCCTAGAAATCTATGAAACCCACAGTGGGGCATGGATCCCGCAGGGGACCCTCCAGCGTATGTGCTGTTGGACTGACATGGATTACACGGTTCTGGCCCGCAGGCCAGAGTTTGGGCACCCCTGGCTCAGTCTAATTACGTAGCCGGTTAGGTAGCAATCAGTCACCTTTGCTAATATTAAAGCCGCAGGTGGCAACTGCCCAAGAGCATCCGCATCTCCAGGGGCCCAGCTGCAAGGTGCAAATACTGTTGTGTTTGTGGGTTTAATTCACCAAATCAAGAGCCCCTTTAACATAAGTGTGTAACAGAAGTTTCTTTATATAGGCCACAGCACCCAGGCCAGCCCAGAGCCTCCTTCCAGCCCAAGCTTGAAACTGCATTCCTCACTCAAGCAATCCACCCAAAGGCTTGGTGGTGTCTGGTGATGCTCCCTTCTCAACACCCCCTGCAACCTTAGCTGGGCCCTTCCGCCCAGCCCGGATATCACAGCGCTCACTGGTGCCTTACAGTTAATGCCCTGGCCAGAGTTGCCTGGGCGCCTGCAAGCTACAGGGAAGGGGGCGGAGCGGGAGCCCTCCTGACGTCACGTCTGGAGCTACCCGGCGAACCAGCTCTGATTCCACGTGGAAGCCACGATCCCCTGCCCGCAGGGGGCGGGATGGGGCGGGCACCCTCCAGCTTACGTGCTGAGTGACCCGCCTCAGCCTCCCGCCGTGGGGGGGAAGGGAGAGAGAGAGGATGACTCTTGCGCATGCGCTGTGTCACTAACCCGCCTTAGCCTCCTGCTGTGGCGGGGGGG